ACCCTAACAGCCCCTGGCTGTTATGTGGTTTCTCTAGGCAAATTACGTCCAGTAGTTTGCCATTGTTTTCTGGACGGTCGGCTTTCTTGATACCACTGTCGAAACCAACGCAAGGCGCATTGCCCGCAGCTGGGATCGAACCCGGCATCCCGGCATTACGAAGCGAAGTGTTCGCATCGACTTAGCCACAGAGCCGACAATGCCTTGGTAGTTATGTCTATTAACAACCCTGTGTCTCGTGTACTTTCAGTCGACTCTGACACACATGATCTTCCAACCAATATGTCAACATGTATAGCATCTTCTTTTTCGATCTTCCTCTACTGTAACATGCAACTTCCTCTGCCACTTTTGCCCTCCAGACTCTTCCCACTGTCATGATGTACTCCAGTTTTCTCCTTTGCATAACATGACTAAAGAAAATAGATCGTCTTCTGATGTAAGCATTGTCTTCTCTTCGCTAGTCAAGTTCTTCCAAACATCTTGATCACTCTTCTACTCGAGCTAGGCTATTCTCATCACACGTCTCTAAATTCTCGTCTAAGCAGCTTCTAAAAAAGTTTCCACAAATTCAACCTCCGTATATCATGATAGGATTTATGTGGTTCTTGGAAATTCTCTTTCTTGTCTTAACTGACCACACACAAAAATGCACAGAATATTTACAGACGTAGTAGACACACACACACACACACACACACACACACACACACACACACACACACACACATATATATACACACACATTCATCATGTAGCAGGTCCTTTGCAGAACGTCGCTCTCATCACAGTCAGCCTGAAAGAAACTCGGTCTCTCGCCAGTTCTCCCGCCTCATGCACTTTCACACTCAAGGAGTCACTTATATCCTGTGCCCATCTTCGTGTCCGTTGGCGCCTGCCCCTCCTTCCTGGTACCATGCCTTCTGCTATAATTTTTTTCCAGTCCGTTGTGGCGCTTGATATGACCAAACACACACATACATACATAATGTTTGCAAAGAATTCTTACAAACTTAGTAGACAAACATATCAATTTACTGTGACCTGACTACCTTTATTTTTAAATAATTATGGTGTGTCGCCTTTCTTTTAGATAAAGTTTTTTTTTTCTTCTGCAACAGGTATTCTGTTGAAGGAGTCCCTTCCAATTTCGTGAGTACTTGCGACAAGAAAAAGAAAGCTCTCCAGCGCTGTTTGAATCGACCACCATTTTAGGTCTAGTCTACGTTAGACAACATTGCTGTTAACAAGTGCACAATTATACTGCTGTGTAACATTAAATCATCATGTCTTCTGTGTTATTCATAAGATCGACTTTTCGACCATTTTTATGTTTCACATAAGTACACTAGCCTGTGATTTTTGCCTTAAAGCTTTCTGAAAATGTAAGTCTCACCCGTACCATACAGTGTTTGATTTATTACGTTTTCTAAGGCAGCGAGGATAGACCAGTAGTAGCGCGTAGGCGCTATGGTGACCGGTTGCTATCCTATTTGAAGTGAATTTTCACACCTAGCTCCCGCTTCTTTCAAAATAATCATTATGGGGCAGATATTTGCGGAATATCGCCCCCTACACCCCCCACCCACCCACCCACCCCAATCACTCGCCTGAGCTGCTACCTCATTTCACTTTCCTGCCCAATGTGTCTCTTATATGTCAATCATGTGCTGGTCTACCCCTGCACCTCCTACCCGTTAACTGTGACCTCTGTAGTTATTCATTTCAGTCCACCGTGGTGTTCCACATGGCTATATTATTTTTATTTTCAAGACTAGCCAGTTTTTCTTAATTTTCAGCTCTTTTATGATGCCAATAGTTAGTTTTCTTTTTTGGCCTTTGGACTTCTAAGAACGTTTCTAAAGTATTTTAGCTGAAATGCCCTTATTCTGTTATTTAATTATTGGGAGATAACCTACGACTCGCATCCGTATGTTGCTAAAGGAAAGAGCAACTCATGACGCGTCAGTCCAAATATGGATAACACATAAAATACTGGAAAGTGAATGGCACATGTGTTAGTAGTACTGTACACATCACTCATTTCAGACAACTTGGGATCATTTAAAAGTAAGATCTGACACCATTTACCAAAAAGGCTCAGGTCGTTGTAGTGAGACCGTTACAGCTGTCTTTGACGACTGTCTTTCCCTGAAGTGCTTAATCAGCTGTATATTCATCACAGCCACAATAATAATAACTTTTCACTAATTACAACTGGCGGCGTCTGTGGCTTGGGCGTTGCGAGTCCGACTCTTAATTCTAACGAACAGCGATCAAAACCACTACTGGCTGCGAGGATTTGTATCATGATATGGGGCGTCGCAGGTCGACCCAGCCTATCATGGGTACCAGGATGTATGTCATGGGGACGTAACAACGGACGGCGTAATGCTGACACTATTACCCACCTAGGGCAGATTAGTCTGTAAAAATATGGGTGCCTTCCCATATGTTGGATGTGCCGCAAAGCGTAAAAATGGACCTTGACTTTACTACTTTACTTTACCAATTAAAACTCGTGTTTTCCTGTTCTTAATTCTCCTTTTCACCCCAAAGAGCGGTTGATACCCTGTTTTGTGGTTTACATCTTGGTTGCGATTGTGCTACTAAACCTTAGGGGGCTGCGTGGTCTCAAGGCATGGTGTCCGCCTCGAGTGCTAGAGCTTTTGGGTTTAATCCCCGGTAAGGGCTGGGATGTTTTCACGTGGACTTTGGACTTCAAGTATTTTCATCTGGTCTCTGTGTAGTGAGCGGCGTCCCTGGCTTATGTGTTGCCAGTCCGACTGGAAATTTCCAACCTGCCGCGATCGAAACCCACTGCTAGCTGCGTGGATTTTTATCATGGTAGGCGGCGTCGCAGGTCGACCCAGCACAAAATGGGGACCAGTATGGATGTCCTGGGGAAGTAAAGACAGCCCGCGTAATACTGACCACATTACTTAACTAGTGCCGATTGGTCTGTAAAAATATGGGATACTCTTCCCATATGCCTAAGGCGTGAAAAGGGATCTTCACTTATTTACTTAATTCACTTTTCTGGGTAGTGAGACAGGACGTCCGCGCACTTTAAAAAAAAAAAAAAACCTTGGCAGTTGGAAATCGAAAAGAGTAGCCTAACGGCGCTGCCCGGGCAAAAAAAAAAATGGAGTTATAAATCGACCCAAGGTATTTCAGGATCCTCCGGTGCTTCAGAGCCTGTGAAACGTGCTGAGTTTGTTCGGACTAAGACTTCAGTTAAAAGAAGAACGGAGCACTCAAGGGTTACTACTCGTGTGTCATGATGTTGATCCGGGTTCAAACTTCAAACCTAAGTGTTGTAGCAATGCTAGTGTGTAACAGGAAAATATAAAACAAAACAGTTGAATTAGAGGTAATTATTTTTTTAATCCTTTTCTATTATAATAATAATTATGTTAGTATTATTTTTATAAAATAAGTCAGTTATGTTAGTTCAGTACACTTGGCTTGTAAAACCATCATGCTCTAGGCATGTAGGTTAAACATAGCGATGTCAGGTAAAGAAACAATATGTTAAGACGGTGGTTAGAATATGTTAAGATGGTGTTGGGGAAACTATACGTCTTATTTACTATGCGTCACAAAAAGGCTAAACATCTGTAATACACATGTTTAGAGTTAAAAGCCGACCAGATCGACTTCACTGAACTGGCTTTGTTTTCCATGTGGCTCTCTCTCTCTCTCTCTCCTTAGAAATATCTGTCGCCTATTTATAGTATCGCACAAAGCACGATCCCCGCATGGTTAGTTAAACAGCGACATTCCTACCAGCCTATACCGAAGGGGTCACCAGAACATGACTGGGTATGACCGTTACACATTTTAATTATTTTTTAAAGACTTTTTTCCATGTCTATAGGTATAGACGGCATATGGTGCTTGTTTCATCTGTAGGAAATAAAGGGCACTCGATGGGTAATGTGTCTTAGCTGAGCTGAATTAAGTCAAAAAACGACATGACAGCACTCGGGGCATTCTGATTTACGTTCCGTCATCGTTTTCAGGGGCGAAGAGTTTCAATTTCGTGGATAGTGTATTCGATATGATGTGGCATCGATATGATGTGGCATCGATATGATGTGGCATCGATATGATGTGGCAGACTTCATTTCCTATATCCTGCTTTCGCACATTTAAGTTTGTATCGAGTTGCAGTCTCATTAGAAACGTTTGAGTTGATGGGAACCCAAGCCAACATACACCAGCCCTGCCTTAAATCACTAGCGACTGAATAGTACAGGGTGCCCTGTATGTTTCCATAAACAGAAAAAATACATGAAGACATAACACCAACACCACTACAAGCAAAAATCCAGCTGTGGTTATGTGTGTTCTTCAGAAGTTAGTTTTAAAACAATTAGTAGCCATGCAGAGCATGTAATGGGAGTCGCCGTGGCAGAGCGGCTAGACGCGCGCCGCGGATCGGAAGGTCGTGGGTTCGCTCCCTGGTAGAGACGGACTTTTCTTAAAAAATGACCTTGGCTCCCAGGTCGACCCAGCCTTGAGTGGGTACCGGGTGCAATCCCGGGAAGTAGAGGCGGCCGGCGTGATGCTGACCACATCACCCATCTTGTGCCGTTGGTCTATAAAAATATAGGTCTAGCCCTATATGCCCTATACGCCTAAAGGCGTGGAAAGGGTCCTTTACTTTACTTACAGAGCATGTAATTAAACGGAAATTTTTTCTTTAAAACAGTGGCTGTCAACCTTCCTAATGCCGTGACTCTTTAATACAGTTCCCTCATGTTGTAGCGACCCCTGTAAAAGGGTTGTTCGACCCCCCCAAAAAAAAGGGTTGCGACCGGCAGGCTGAGAACCGCTGCTTTAAAACATTGTTATTTTTTTAATGTAGGGAACTTATGGGACAACCTGTATAATAAATGAGTTTCTGATTCTCAAAAGTGTCTTAAAAATGCCTTCACATCCTCACTGAAAACGACCATGCCAAAGCCCAAGATGGCGTCGATCTGATCCGGCCACTAACCGAGCACGGGGCACTGCAGCAGTAACTTTGCACAGGCACCCACAAACCCTGGTGGAGCATAGGGTATGGGCACCCTGTTGGGAGAGAATCAATTCAATTATGATAAACTCTTAATCATGACATTTGTAATTGTTGTGTGTTGTTTGTGTTGTTATTGTAGTTGGTTCATTTCTTCTAAATCTGCATAGTCATCATCATTATCATCATCTTCCTGGTCTTCTTCTTCGTCTTCTTCTTCTTGTGACCTTTGTATTTAAAGGACGCGAGGTAACTTTTGTATGTAAGTTGTACCTCACCAGTACATTACACAAGCGATAACCACCCGGTGACACGAAGTGCCACCATGCGGATGAGGATCACCCGTGGAGAGGTCCCGGAAATCCCGTTCAGCCGTTAGGCCCTATTTCAGGCCTGGCTGTATTCAGAGCCCTCAACGAAAGCCAGGGTGGTGCTTCAACATAACTAAAAATTGCATCCCACAAGGGAATGACGAGATTTGACGTTACTTTTTATTTACAGCTCTTTTTATAGGGGATACATTACTAGAGTGTTTAAGCATGAAATAAGGATATTCATTTCTATTTTTTGAAGAAATCAAAGTTTGCTGTTTTCTGTGAGAAGCAGCTCATACATTACAAGCCGTCTGTAGAAGACCAGTCGGTCACAGCAATTGCTATCACCTTGTAGCTTACTCCACATGTTGTCCTACTTTTCACATCACTCCTTTTATTGTTCATATGATATTGTGGTTTACCTTTATTCCTTTGACGCCGAAAGTCCTGTGCAACGGAATCTAGTTATCATCGTCGTGTGAAGTGTCCTTTGCAGAACGTCGCTGTCATACGGTCTGCCTGAAAGAAAATTGGTCTATCCCCAACCCCCTCCTCCTCCAACTCAAATCCAGTTCTCGCCTATATCCAGTGCTCATCTTCGTGTTGGTCAACCCCTGCTCCTCCTTCCTGGTACCATGCCTTCTACTATTATTTCCTCTAATCCGCAGTGGCGTTTAAAATAGTAAAAATATTTCATCTTCCGAGACATGATGCCGTTTTCTAGCCAAACTTCCTTGATGCTAAGATCTGTTAGAATATCAACATTGTCTTTTCTAGTTGCATTACAGCGAATCCAAGCTAACACGATTTCTAAGGAACGGAAAATTGAGTTAAGAGTTTTGAAACATGCGTGCTAGTCTAATAACAATACTTTCTGCTGGGAACACAACTGTATTATTGTTATCCACAAGTTCTTCTTAGGCCAGTTGGCGTTAATGAACATTTACATATCAGGTTTTCTCAGTAATGGAGCTGCCGTGGTGCAGCGGCTAGACTGCGGATCTGCGGATCGGAAGATGGTTGGTTCTGATACTGACGGAACCAAACTTTTTTTTTCAAAAAAAATTCCTTGGCCTGCAGGTCGACCCAGCCTTAAGTGGGTACATGGTTTAGTTCTGTGAAATAAAGGCGGCAGGCCGGATGTAGACCACATACCCACTGACTGCCGATTTGTCAAGGTCAACCCTACATGCCCAGTACGCCAGGGGGCGTGGAAGAGGGGCTTCTACTGTCCTCAGTGAATGTCTTATACAAAGTTACGATGTATTTGTTAGCTTGTGATGCATATGGATTTCAGTAGTCCCTCCGCCACAGCTGTACATCTGACACCCTAATTACATTTAACTATGTCTTTTTACGTTACAATAATCTTTAAAGCAACATCAAAGATACTTACCCGCACTTTGTCTTCTCATAAACGTAAGGTGAATTGGTTGAACGTTCGTTGGAGAACAGCGGTATGGTGTTGGTTTGATAGGTACAGGTTAGTGTTACTGTGTAGGACGGGTGTAACTGAACAAACAAAAACCAAACGTATGCATCAACAACATCATCATCAGCTTCGTCTTTACCATCATCATTACCACCAGTATCATTATCATCATCGTCATCAGTATCATCTTTATAGTCATCATCATTATCAATGCTATCACAAATATCTTAGTCATCGTTAACGTTATCAAAACCAAAATAATTAGCACTTTCGTCACCACCGTCAATAACACCATCATCAGGATCCCTGACGGTGCTACGGAGTTCGTGCAATGCGCTGAGATTTTTCGGACTCAGGCTTAAGTAAGAAAAGGAACGGAGCCCTTATTGCTTGCTACCCTTGTGCCTTGATGTTGATCCGTTGTTTTAACTTTAACAGCAACAACAAAAAAATCACTATCATCGTCAACATGTTTTATAGCGAATAGAGTTAGTGACCCTGGCTCACCATCTGTCATGATCAACAATCGCAGATCAAGCCTGAGTTCTGTTTTCGATCTTGTGGCCAGCAAATCCAGGTATACATCTTATTGTCCTCGTCACATTCGTCTTAAGGACTGTTCCACCTGTTGCTAAGTTATTTACGTTTTATTTCTTCTGAAAATGTCCCTGTCTGGCAAACGAAGAGGTGAGGAGTTAACTTGGCATGACAGTTGCATGTTTTATTTGAAAAACAAAGACAAAAGAACATAAGGGTCATTCTCCTATGTGCTCGTGGGTAGATGGCATATGTTGTTTGTCTCATTTTTGCTGAATAAACGACACTCCATGGGTAATGTGTTTAAGCTGAGTTGAACTTAGTCAAGATACGACATTACAGCTGTCGGGAAATTCCCATTTACGTTCCGTCAATATTTTTTCCAGGCAAAGAGCTCCAGTTTTGACCGGTGGTGTATTCTATATCATGGAGGCAGACCAATGGTGTGTATCATCATTGCTCTCAATTCTGTTGACATCAACACAGCGACGTGGGAGGCTGCTGCGCACCTGGATGGTGTACGTCCATCAGGCATGGTGTATCGGCCTGCCAGGCAGCGGAGGTTGCACAGGCAGAGAAACGGGGGCAGACTAGAAAGAATCGTACTGCTAATCCCACATTTGCTGCGGCTTTTATTTGTTGTCCGCATTTGCTCAAGAACTGTCCAGGCTCATATTGGACTGATCAGCCACCTTCGTAATCACTGATCATTACTACGTTGGAGGAGAGCGGTCTTCATCACTCGTGATAAACGAACATCTTCGTTTAAATACTCTTTCAAATGCCCTCCACATGTAAACGTTAACCTTCACTGTGATTAGTGGGCACTTCTGAGGGACACTTTGTCACACTAGAAAGATGAGTAATAAAGACGACAGGATGAAGTACACACATAAGTTCACCAACACAAAGGAGAACTGGGCATCGCCTATTATCTTCTTTGGCTATATGACAGTCTATTGATGTGTATAGTGCGTATTTCTTTACAGGTGTCGCGATTTCTTTTTTCTCTTCCCATCTGAGAAAAACATTGTGTGCCGTGCCGGAAAGTTCCGCCATCTCATATGATCACCAGAATTCTGGATCAGTCCAATGTATCAGTCTTGCCTTATCTTTTTATCTTTGCAGTGTTTCCCCGACAGTAACAATTAAACACAAACGAAAACTCAAATACAACGAACCAGGTGACGGTTCGAAGAAATCCATCATTAGTAATTGCATGTCATATTCTAAAGTTTTGGCACATTATAAACACGGAAGGTGCGTTTCGAATTATTTACACATTGGCGAACCGTAGATTATTGAGATTTGCAGAAGCGTCCGCTATCAACAGGCTTAGTCCAGAATTATACAGACAAGACAACATGACATGCTCTTCACCTTGTAGTAACCCTGATGAAACAGACAGTTTGTGAATGTAGTCGATTTTGTTGTTGTTTCAGTTCCAAGGATTCATTTGTTTCCTTTATTTTAATCACGTGTTTCTGTGGTAAGAACATAACGAGAAACATCGAAATATGTCCGGCACTAAATTGTGCAGTCTATTGTTTGTGTCTCCTTTGTTTAAATTTCTATCTTTGCCTTCCGCTAGCTCCCTTTCCATCATACTTGCCAATTGTTACCAAGTTCTCAGAATCTCCGTTTTGCAAGACAGCGATCTAGAAGCAGTCATAAAAATCAAATGTAAGAATCACAGGAGTATCGACACGTTGAAGGAGCTTAAAACCTGTTTAAATTGTCTTTAACTGGTGTCTCAATTAACCTTATCCTTGTTTAAGAGATTAACAATAAAACTCATAAAAATTACAGTAGTGTATCCAATGGTTGCAGTTAGTTGCATATTATTTACAGGGCGTTGCAGAATCAATCCCAGCATTTTTTATTTATTGATTTTTTTAAATTTTTATTTTTTTTTATTTTGCAAATTTTACGTTCAAGTAGTTTGCTATTGTTTTCTAAACGGTCCACTGTCGAAAACAACGCAAGACGTTCTGTCGCCAAATAGCCCGAGTATGAGTGTTTGATTCGGTTGAACTGAGCATCTTAGATTTTCTTCTCTTCGAATCGTATCCGAAATGTGGCTTATTCAGTCATGTGGCAGTCTTTGAAGAGAAGCACTGAAAGAAACATTTATTTAGAAAAAATTCAGTCTGTAGTGTTTGGTTTAATTTTCTCTCTCTCTATCTTTCTCTCTCTTTCTCTGTCTCTCTCTGTCTCTCTCTCTCTCTCTCTCTCTCTCTCTCTCTCTCTCTCTTTCTCTCTCGCTCTCTCTCTCTCTTGTTGTACCCTACCAGGACATCACACAAGCGATAAACACCCGGTGACACAAAGTGCTACCACGGGGATGAGATTCACCAGTGAAGAGGTCCTAGAAACGCCTTTCAGACAGGATGCCATATTTATGGCCCTTTATTCAGAGCACCCGACAAAAGCCAGGGTGGGGCTTCAAACAACGAAAAATTACATCCCACAGGGGGACGACTAACTGAAGACCAGGAGCACATTGGTATAATTACAGAATGAGACTAAATTTACATTGGTTCCCAAAACAAGATTTACCCCCAAGATGGTGCTTCTGCAGTCTGGCCACACCCCTGAATAACTGCCATCAGCCAGACGTTCAAACCTGATATTGCAGTCCGGGTCATTTTCCAGATCGGCAAACTTCAGATGTTCCAAATCTTCAACTGAGAACTTGCCGGGCCTGAGGAAACGATATGTAAACATGTTCAGTATTCTGAAGTAAGCGACGTCACACAGACATACACAGAGGCGTTGAAATGGAGACCTTTCATAGTTTTCCGCTTGTATTGGTTGTTACAGGTTGTAATGTTGTCGTAGGCAAACGTGCAGTAGCATAATTTCGAATGCCCAGAGGGTTGGATTTTCTTTCAAAGGTGACCTTTTCCCACATGTTATCACAGCCCTAAACGGTAACCGAGGTTTTGTCCTGAGTCATATCAGAGGATGTCTTTATTATCGTCGTGCTTCATTGTAGAGTTAGGATAGGAGGGGGTGGGGGAAGGAGTAGTAATAAAGGACCCTTCTCAAACCTTTGGCACAGCAGACATGTGATGCTAAAATCATATTTCTAAAGACCAATAGGTACTAAGTGGGCGATGTGGTCGACATCTGGCCGGCTTCCTTCTCTTCCCAGGACATTTCCAGGTACCCTTTTAGCCCTGTATTGTCATGGATGCAGAGGTCAATTTTGAAGGAAAAATCCGTTCCTATGCGGATTCGAAATTAAGATCTTTGAACGTCTGGCCACTGCGAGATCGAATTCAGTGTGTTACATGTACCCGAACAAAAATTCTTGGGATATTAAACAGGATATGTCGAGTTTGCCATGTTTATTACCATCTAACAAGCTCAATCACAGGGGGTGGTTAAACATTCGACAGCAACAAGGAGGGGGAAAACGGCAAGAAACGACATAACATTGCCAGGTGTTGAAACTTGTGGTCTTATGCTGTTTACGTTTGATTTGCAGGTGTAAGCATTTTGCAGATCCCTCGCGTTTTTCACTACAGCTAAGAACTTGGATGCTTTGCAGGACGCTATTACTGTGCCAAGTCGTTTATTTTTGAGGCAACGAACCAGAAAGGGGATGACCAGGTGCAACAAAGTCGACCCTCTTACCTTTCATAGCCCTCAGGTGATGGTCAAAGATGCCTCTGGTTTCATCTGGGTAGAAGCCTTTACTAGCTGCGTCTCCCTTCTGAGCAGCCAGCGAGGAGTCTACATACTGATTGTGCCGGCTGTCATCTGTTTAACTATTCGTCTGGTCTTGCAACCATGTTTCATCAGCAGGTTCATGTGCTTAAGCTGCAGTCTCCCAGGAGTTCTCACATACATAACCTGGGTCTATGGAATGGTAATCCCTAAGTGAGGCGTTAAATTGCAGCTACATACAATTAGACAGCAGACCCATTTGCGTTGAATTCGACATTTGTATGTAGTGATAGCTATTCAGAAAGTAACGGTAATCTTCTTCCTTTCTCCCAACCCCCCCCCCCCATGCGTTCTATTCCCCAAATGAGCATAACCCTAAGACTACTCACACGAAGTCGTTCTATCGTTCGCAATTACATGGGCTCATTCCATGCTATCCCTATATTTTTAACTTCTCTCTCTAGCTCCCTTCTTCGTGTTTTTTTTTTTTTTTTTTGTTTGTTTGTTAGTCTGCCATTATTTCTCTGCCCCTGTGGGTTCCAGTGCGAAGATATTCTGGTTATAATGCTCTCAGGTTTTCGCAGCGTGTGTCCTATCCAACGCCAGCGTCTTTACTTTACCACTTGGTCGACTGGAACTTGTTTATTTATTTTCGTAAGCTCAGCATTAATGATTTTTTCATACCATTTTATTCCCTATATTTTGCGCAGGCACCAGTGAAAAATAATCTTTTAAATTTAGTATCTATTTGCTTTCCTCCATGGTGAACTCCATTTTATGTTCGTTTGTGTTGCTTTTGAAAAGTACATACTTTTCTGTGGAATCCCACAGTGTCACATCAATTTCCAGGCAGATTCTTTATCAATGCTGTCAAAAACGTTTTCCTAATCTATGAATCCAGTATAAAATGGTGCGTTTAGTTGACTGATTTGCTGTACTAGTATACACAGCATAGCTACATGGTCAGCACAGGATCTGTTTGGCTGAACAATCTGCCTGTTCACCTTTAAGCTTTTTATCAACAGCAGATTTTAGTCTTTCAAATATGATCCTTCTTTATATTTTTTTACAGGAACTAACAGCAAGATAATTCCTCTATACTCCATAGATTTCACATTGTTGTCTACTAACCGATATTTGCCCGGATTCGATGTGATGTTGAACGGCAGGAGTGTGAGGATATTCGGTCTGTACGTGTCTTTTGTCACTAAAATGATCTGCAGAAGGACCACTTTAAGATCCACAACGAACTCAAACAGCAGCAAGGGTTTCTGAAATCAGACAAACACATTTGTGTCACACGTAACATGATGTTTTAACAGTTCTAACAGTTTCCGAAAGCACCTGTTCTTGCGTTATCAGTTTTAGACGGAAATGGTTTAGCATATTCGTTGAAAATTATTTAAGATTTAATACTCTTCCAAACGTAGAAACTAACGATACACTTTTTATTAACCTGTCTTTAGTGTACTTAAGAAAGAGAATAGAGGCTTTTGAGCTGAAAAGCTGTAGAAAGATTCTCAGAATATCTTGGACAAAGAAGAGGAGAAATACTGACATCTTGAAAGATCTGAACATCAAGGAAAAGTGGCTAATAAACAGCATCCTGTCTATGAAGCTGAAATATTTTGGTCATATCAAGCGCCAAAAAGATTGTTAAAAAAAAATATAGCAGAAGGCATAATACCAGGAAGGAGGGGCAGGGGCCGACCAACACAATGATGGGTACATGATGTAAGTGACTCCTTGAGTATGAAAGGCGGGAGAGCTGGCGAAAGACCGAGTTTCTTTCAGGCGGACCGTGATGAGAGCGACGTTCTGCAAAGTACCTGCTACATGATGATGACTGTTCTAATGTACTACTCTAAATGGCGGTGTAGACAAGGAGGGGGTTGTGAGCCTGAGAATGTACGGCCTCCACAGACTGGGCAGGTAAGAACGTTTTTTTTCGCCCTCGACCCCCCAAAAAAAACTCCTTTGCTTACCGAGGACGGAACCCGTCTCTCTTGCATGAGAGCCCGACATTGTAGCAGCTCGACAAAGCCACTCCTCTCTTACTGATATTATTGTGTAATAATTTGCGTCTTAATTCTACAAGGAAAAAAAAAAACATATTCATTTCGTTGATGACAGATAGAGGAAACTCGTTAAGTGGAATCTCAAACTGACAATATTACGAGAACTATCTCTAATTAGAGACAACCTGGCTGTTTTATAAATAAGCTGGAAACTGTGTGTGTGTGTGTTTGTGTGTGAGTGTGTGTGTGTGTTTGTGTGTGTGTGGGTGAAAGAGGAAAAAATGGGTGTTCGGGTGAGACAACCTACGGTTTCCTAATACGCCTGTAGTTGAAAGCCAGTAATTAATTGTTGTCTCATGTCAGATGTGTGCCGGCAACAAGGCGCAATTATTACAAACAAGCTGTAAACAACAATACAGAATGTAAACGACCTATTACGGACGAACGTAGACGTAGTAGTAGACACAGAAAGAAATAAACAAAGAAAGAGACGAAAAAAGAAAAACATAATGAAAGACAGACAGAAAGAAGAAGAAGAAGAAGAGGAAGAAGAAGAAGAAGAAGAAGAAGAAGAAGAAGAAGAAGAAGAAGAAGAAGAAGATGAAGAAGAAGAAGCAGAAGCAGAAGAAGAAGAAGAAGAAAGAAGAAGAAGAAGAAGAAGAAGAAGAAGAAGAAGAAGAAGAAGAAGAAGAAAAAAAAAGAAGAAGAAGAAGAAGAAGAAGAAGAAGAAGAAGAAGAAGAGAAGAAGAAGAAGAAGAAGAAGAAGAAGAAGAAGAAGAAGAAGAAGAAGAAGAAGAAGATGAAGAAGAAGAAGAAGAAAGAAAAAGAAGAAGAAAAAGAAGAAGAAGAAGAAGAAGAAGAAGAAGAAGAAGAAGAAGAAGAAAAGAAGAAGAAAAAGAAGAAGAAGAAGAAGAAGAAGAAGAAGAAGAAGAAGAAGAAGAAGAAGAAGAAGAAGAAGAAGAAGAAGAAGAAGAAGAAGAAGAAGAAGAAGAAGAAGAAGAAGAAGAAAAAGAAGAAGAAGAAGAAGAAGAAGCAGAAGAAGAAGAAGCAGAAGAAGAAGAAGCAGAAGATGAAGAAGCAGAAGAAGAAGAAGCAGAAGAAGAAGCAGAAAAAGAAGAAGCAGAAGAAGAAGAAGAAGAAGAAGAAGAATGAACATTTGCTGTCATATTTATTGGTAATAATTGAAATATTAATGGCCATACTTACCCCAACAAAAGGTGGATAGCTGATATAAATGGGTAGAACTCTGACTTGTATGTGATTATACTGGGTATCACAGCCGGGAGTTAGCTGAGCGGTGTTGTCATAGAGCCCGATAATGACATCAATGAAGTCGAGGATCTCAGTATCAATCAGGGCTAGAGGTAGAGAATGATACTTAGCCAATCTGTTCAGTAGTAGTTGGATGATGGGAGGTAATCTTCAGGATAATGAGATTCATTACCATTATCGACGTCATTAGTACAACTGACGTCATTTTCGTCGACATCATCATCGTCGTCATCTTCATCATCATCATCGTTATCACCAACGCTGTTGTCTTTTTTTATCGTCATCATGATCCTTAACATTATTATCATAATCTCCGTTACCTTATCTTGTTCAACATAACATTATCAGCATTCTTGAACATTCGGAATGAAGCTATAGATGCTAATGACAAACCATTTCGGTCTTTAGGACTGAGGTAAAAAGCTTTGATTACTTTATCCTGGCTATTCTTCAGGCATCATTTAACCTATCCGTCATTTAAACTAGTCATCTAATAATCTAACCGTCATTTAACCAAGGCATCATTTAACCTATCCGTCATTTAAACCAGTCATCCAATAATCTAACCGTCATTTAACCAAGGCATCATAAAGGAAATTAATCGTCTAACCCAGTCATCATTAAACATAGTCATTAGTTAACCTAGTCTTCGTTTAACCTTGCCATCTTTTAAACTAGCCATTATTTAACCTAGCCATCATTTAACCTAGCCATCATTTAACCTAGCCATCATTTAACCTAGCCATCATTTAACCTAGCCATCATTTAACCTAGCCATCATTTAACCTAGCCATCTTTTAAACTAGCCATTATTTAAACTAGACATTATTTAACCTAGCCATCATTTAACCTAGCCATCTTTTAACCTAGCCATCATTTAACCTAGCCATCATTTAAACTAGCCATCATTTAACCTAGCCATCATTTAACCTAGCCATCATTTAACCTAGCCATCATTTAAACTAGCCATCATTTAACCTAGCCATCCTTTAACCTAGCCATCATTTAACCTAGACATATTTTAAACTAGCCATCATTTAACCTAGCCATCATTTAACCTAGCCATCATTTAAACTAGCCATTTTTTAACCTAGCCATCATTTCACCTAGCCATCATTTAACCTAGCCATCATTTAACCTAGCCATCATTTAACCTAGCCATCATTTAACCTAGCCATCATTTAACCTAGCCATCATTTAACCTAGCCATCATTTAACCTAGCCATCATTAAACCTAGTCATCATGCAACCTAGTCGTTGTTTAAGCTAGCCAATATTTAATCTAACCATCATTTAAACTAGCCATCATTTAACCTAGCCATCACTCAACCTAGTCCTCATTTAAACTAGCTATCATTTAACCTAGCCATCATTTAAACTAGTCGTCATTTAACCTAGCCATGATTTAACCTAGCCATTATTTAACCTGACTATCATTTAACCTAATCGTAATTTAACCTAGCCATCCTTGAACCTAACCATCATTCAGTCTACACTTGTTTAACCCAGCCATTGTTTAACCAAGCCATCGTTTAATAGCTATCATTGAATCTGGCCATCGTTTAAACTAGCCATCATTTAACATAGCCATAATTTAATCTAGTCATCATTTACCCCAGTACCTCAGTATCATTCAACTTAACCATCGTTAAACCTAGCCATCATTCAACCTAGCCAGTATTTAACCTAGTCATCATTTAAGCTAGCACTCCTTTAATCTAGCCACATATAACTTAGGCATCATTCAATTTAGCCATGACTGGTCCGTAATCTTGTCTTTCACTGAGGTTCCTTTCTCCAGATACCCACACCCAGCGTCCCCTGATTTAACTTAGCTATCAATGTACAAGGTTGTGTCGTCTTTCTTCGAGCTTACCGTTTGTAAACTCCAGATGAAAGTTCCGGTTGTTCACACACTTCTGGACTATAGTTTATTACCAGAACTTGGGCTTTGCGTGCACATCCGTTTGAAAAGTATGGCAGCTTTGTAAGCAGACTGTTAATTCCCTGCCTCTCAAGCATAGGCACGCAGACTTCGAAAGAAACATCACTCATTAGTGAACTTCTAGGACATGCTTGATAATAGACGGTGGGTCTTTCCTCCAGCCCATGACTCCTCTCTCCCTACAATGTGGACACTACCCCCAACGGACACAAGGCTGAGTTGTTTAGCAGCACCCTGTCATACTTATAACCATTCCCTATCTGTCATATTCCACAAATATTTGAGTTTCTGTTATCAGCCTGAGCCAAATTTGAGCCTCCGCCTGCATCCAGTTTTTTTCACCCACAGCCTTCTGTAGGATGTATCCATAACAACCGGAACTCTTATGTAAGCTTGGCGAGTAGCATCGTTTGAAGGTGAAGGACCCTTTTCCATGTTTCATGCTTATAGGGCATACTGTGCTAGACTTAATACTTTATCGACCAGTCGATACTCATGTAGGTGATGTGGTCCACCCACCGGGCCGCCTTGACTTCCCATGACTTTTCCTAGTGCCCTTTTCAGGCTGGGTCAAATAGACGTCACAAAAATGTTCTTTCTTTAAAAAACCTGCTTCGTTAGGAGTTGAACAAACGACCTTCGGAACCGCAGACAAGCATCTAGCCGCTACACGACGAAAGTTCCTGTTAAATTTCTCCGAAAGTCTTGATAGTGCATCTGCCTGTATTATATATTTATAACAGCTTCACCCTGTATCTAACAGTTTTGCCTTCATCTTCTTGTATCCGTTAATGCTGAAACTTGCATGAAAACGTTTGTAGCAGCATTTTCCTTAAATAATGTGCAGATTATGAGAATCAACACTGAAAAGACAGAAGTAATGTCAATAGGAAAAAAGAAGACAGATCTAAACATAGCAATAGAATACAAAGGCATTAAACAGGCATCTGAGTTTAAATATCTGGGAACTACATTTACCGAAAATGGGAAATTGGATTAAGAAATTGACATTAGATGCAGTAAAGCAAACCAAGTATTGGGACAGCTAGCGCCCCCCTCTTACAGCATAAGACAATCCCAATCAGCACAAAGAGGCATCTTATTCAAAGCATATTTATTCCAACTCTGTGCTACCAGTGCCAGACATGGTCACTCACAACAAACCATTAAACAAAATTAGTAACCACGGAAATGAGATGTCTGAGAAGGGCTGTAGGAGTGACCATAAGAGATAAGATCAGGAATGAGATCATAAGAGAACAAGTTGGCACAGAACCAATTCTGGATTACATACAAAGACAGCAAGTGAAATGGTTTGCCCACTTAGAGAGATTGCCTTGTGATACCATACCATACAAAGCATACATGGAAAGAGAAGAAGGACGTAGAGCACGGGGTTGACCAAGAACAAGATGGAAGGATAACATCAGAGAAACTCTACAACAGCATGAAGTGCCTATGGTCGAGGCAGCCAGAAGAGCTAGAAACAGAACCTTATATCTCCCTCGACACCCACAGCGGTAAAAGAGGAAGTGAAGAAGAAGAAGAAGAAGAAGAAGAAGAATGTGCAGATGAGCCCAGTATATTCTGCATGCATGCACAAGATTGAAAAATTTTAGGGAATAGCCGAACACTGTCCTCGTGGCCCCAGTGTGCATGCATTGCAACCTCTCTAGTACTGTAGGTTACCAAGCAACCAACAAGCTGCATTTTCAAATGTTTAAGAACCGGGAACAGAGGATCTTTTCACAAACTGGCTATCTCGCCTCATTCCTGACATACACTACTTCATTATTACATCATTTAACAAATACTAATGAACATCAGCGACAAAATCGAAGATGTCACTACAAACGGTAGAATGTGTTCTACATATACCTAAATTTAAAAATAATAAAAATGTGAATAATCTAATACGTTTAGGAAAATATGCAATATGTGTAACATTAAAGTTGACTGCACATGCTTTACATAAGGTTGCAGAACCAACCCCAACATTTCGTAACAGTTTGTGATTTCATTAACCCTGCGATTGTCTCTAAACTGACGGCTCTCAACACCAGTGTTGAAACCAGCACAATGTGGTAAATCTCCGGCATCGAACCCGGTACCTTGGAATCATACAACGCGTTGGTAACACCTAAGCCATATACGCCGATATGTTTAACTTACAATAATCTGTAAAGGTGGCATGAAGACTGTCATGACATTGAGCTAGACCAAGTAAACAGTCTCACACAGGTAAGTCAAGATCCCTTCTTACGCCTTAGGCACAACGGGCACATGGGAAGAGCACTCATATTTATACAGACCATCAACACTAGATGGGTAATGAAGTCAGCATCACGCCGGCCGTCTTTACTTCCCCAGTACATCCATCAAGGTACCCATTTTAGGCTAGGCCGACCTGTGAAGCCTAGATAAAAATTCACGCAGCCAGCAGTAGGTTTCGATCGAGGTATGCTGGAATTATGAGTCGGAGTCGTAACGCCTAAGCCACAGGTACATTATTTCTATTGCACACATCTGCTTGAACAGAAGTTACAGAGTAAACAGGTAACACAAGTCAGGATGAAGTTACTTACGGTAGATAAGTTCTTGCGTAGCAGTGACATAGCAGATGTACAGGTCGTCGATGTCGGCGCAGATGATGTAGCAGACACAGCAAACAAAACAAATTAGGCAAAATGCATTTTTGCTGCCAAATCAGTATATGTACTCTGTAATCATATAATACACTACTGATTTGTAATGCAACATGAGTGACAGTTTCTGTGTGTGTTCTGTTTTCTTTTTGGTATTTACCGTTTGTTACGGTTGCAAGCGACACTGTTGGAGAAAAAATGGGGTTGGGGCGGGGGGGGGGGGGGGGGGGGGGGGGGGAGATAAAATACTCAATTTCAGTAGCCACGAGATCTGCAGATTGGCACTTTTTTTTTAAATTAAAAGAAAGAAAGAAAATATTGATTCCTTACTGAGGAACGAACTCAAGTCTCTCGCATGCCACATAGGAGATCAAAGCAGTCACATTGGCTGAAATGAGTGCAATAAAGTCACACAGGGGGTACTTCCGTTGGCAGGTAAAGGTTTTGCGCTCTGACACGTTCTCAGCCACAACCTATGAGGTGATATGGCGTTCCATTTCACCACTGCAGAGACATAGCAAACGATCTGAGGGAGCGCGGTCTGCCATGTCATTAAAAAAAAAAAAAAATATTATATTGTGCGTCTCAGCAATTGTTATTATTATTAGGCACTTAAACGAGGTTTAGTTATCTTAAGCACCCGCACCCACCCCTAAAGTTTTCTTTGTGCTGGCAACCTGAGCCAGGTCAACAGTCTCACCAGGCAAGCACACTGGTCAACATACCTGCGACACAACACACACAGTCATGCGTACTCGGAGTGAGTGAATGAATGAGTCAGTGAGTAAGTGAGTGAGTGGATGAATGAGTGAGTGAGAGAGAGAGTAAGCGAGTGAGTAAGTGAGTGTGTGAGTGAGTGAGTGAGTTAGTGAGTGAGTGAGTGAATGAGTGAGTGAGTGAGTGAGTGCGTGACTAAGTGAGAGAGTGAGTGAGTGAGTGAGGAAGAGAACGAGCGAGTGAGCGAGCGAGCGAGCGAGTGGGTGAGTGAGTGAGTGAGTGAGTGAGTAAGCGAGTGAGTGAGTGAGTGATCGAATGAATAAAAAACAAGAAAGTCTTTTTAAATGAATGAATAAACTTACGGTCTACAACTACGCAATTAGTAGTTGAAAGGTACATCATAAGTAAGAAAGGGCAGATCAGTGACGCCATGCTTGTCTGACTCAGACTGCAGACCTTGGGCCTAGCACTGGAATGTGTACACAACATCATCTATTCATTTATACATAAACAACTAATTGGAACATAGTTATAAAACAAACACACACACAACCCTGAATTGTTTGTATGTAGAAGTTAGCATTCATTGTAAACGGACACAGTTCTTAACCTAACATAAATGTCAACCGTAAAGAATGTAGAATTGTTTTTGTATAAAAAGCTGTGTGGATTCAAATACCCCATTCTGGACACACACACACACACATAAAACAATAGATCCACTGTACCCTAAGAATTATGTAGTAAAGGAGGACTAATTCGGAGTGTTTCTTTCAAGTCGGAGCGAATCTGTTCGAGAGGTGAGGACACAACAGTTTGCACAAAGCAAACGTTTATTAGGTTGAATTAAAGAATGCACTTTCTTCCCGACCTCAGATCTGTCGGCAACATTAAAAGAGCTATATGAGCTTCTGGTTAAAAGAGGAATTGCTGAACATGAACGCTATACAGGTAGCCAAAGAAGAATAGAATACCAACAAAGAACTGATGCTCTCAGTCGCCATACGCTGAGGGAGATACTATAGACGGGATCCAAACGCTAATGGACTTGTCCGATATGCTGTTAGGATGATCTGTTGATTAACTGACCGACTGACTGACTGACTGACTAAATGACTGACTGACTGACTGACTGACTGAATGACTGACTGACTGACTGACTGACTAACTAACTAACTAACTAACTAACTAACTAACTAACTGGCTAGCTAGCTAACTAACTATCTAACTGACTAACTAACTAACTAACTAACTAACTAACTAACTAACTAACTAACTAACTAACTAGCTAACTAACTACTTAACTACCTAACGAACTAACTAACTAACTAACTAACTAATTAACTAACTAACTAACTAACTAACTAACTAACTAACTAACTAACTAACTAACTAACTAACTAACTAACTAAGACTGACTGACTAACTCACCCACTCACTCACTCGCTCACTCACTCACTCGCTAACTCACTAAATATCTAACTAAAAAACGACATATGCGACCTGCGAGCATCAACACTACGACCATCAAAATACAAAACAAATAAAATTATAAATAAATAATAATATGAATATTAGTAGGGTAAAACAATTCACTAAATTGATGCAATCGGTAATAGTATGAATTTTCACCTTATGTACAATAATACGTACATAGAGTGAGATGTGTTTCATGTACAGTTTGAATAACCACTTTGAAAGTAATGCTGAAAAAAAAAAGCAAAATAAATTCCAATTACTTCAAGTTTGACTTACACCTGGAACGGACGTTTGAACGGAACTAGGTCTTAGTCGAGGAGACCTTGTACTTCCAAAAGAACAAGCTAAAATAACATATGTCTGGTTTCGAAAGAGTTAAGCTCCATTCACCGAGGTAAACGAAGTTTGTATAAAATCAAATAGAGCACCGAAAAGTGTCCCCTGTGCTTGAGGTTAGGCATTTTATACTTTATATGAGTCTGAAATAACCCGAAGTATTCAACGACGTGTTTATTGGCAAGTTTGACGTTTATGCAATGTGTCAATTTCCTTGTAGTGGCGACTGTGGTAAATTAATAAAAAAGCCAAGTTAATAATCGAATTGATCAGTAAACTTGCAATTTGTGTTTGAAGTGAGTGAAAGCAGTCAGGTGATGATGCATTTATGTGACGTTTATACAAAATCAGCTAATTATCAGTCAACGTTTTGTGTGGAAAAAAAAAATAATGAAGTTAGCTACATGTTTTAAAAGTTTACAGAATACTGATTTGAAAACGGAGAGATGTTATGTTATGTTATCATAGTTGACATCACTGCACATTGGTCATTCCCACGAGTGCTCAGTCTTCCTATACAGAAGCCACCTTAAGGTACATTTAATAATTTTCCCCATGAGATATTGCTTACAATGTCTTCAATCGTAATCTTGATAACGGCACAAACTTGCTTCACTCTGAGATCATGTAATATTGTTAGCGCCAGTAATTCGTTACTATCCGCCAGTTTTGTTTGTAAGGCGTTGATTACATATCCTCGCTATGTGACAGTCACAAGAGCCTGCCATTCTCTTTAGTCTGTTCGATAAATTGTCAACTCAAGTCGACTGTCCATGTCTAGTTGTGGCTTGCAATCTTAGATTAAAAGCACTTCTCATGCTGTTCTCTGTGTGGTTTAAATTTTAAATATATACTAGACCAAGCGTTCCTTTCTTCGTTTTGTTAGTTCATTCATCCTTTGTTTGGTTGCCGGAAATAGAGACTCAACCATATAGAATTTCCCTGCCATTTCACAGCCAAACAAAGTAAATAATTTTACGGGGCGGGTAAAGAACCCACCTCCCCACCCCTCCACCGCCGTCTTTTTCCACCCTACATTCTCCCAAAGGTTTGTAAATGGGCGGAGGCGCTAGGTGGTGAATATCCATGTATAGATGTTCTAATTTTTACATTTTATAAATAATAAAGTAATATTATGTTCACAAATAGTATTATTGCCCATTAAACAAGTCTCATTGAGAGCACACAAAACGCACTCGATGAACATTTGCTATTACTAAATTTTTTCTAAAAATTCCGAAACCATAAGTTGTAAACCATTTGGCAGGTTACTATAGATATTGCAACCCTTTGGCCTGTGTGGCAGTATCTGCCTAAATAATCGTAGGTAAGTCCGATTATGCTCATTTGGCCATAAGTACCCTAAGTTATTTTTTTCTCTATTGACTGTGTATATTTTATACATAATTTTCCTCTCAACATCGAGTCGATGATAAGGCCGATAAAATAAATTTTTTATTGATCATTTAAATCAAACAGTTTAAAGTTCCTTAAACGCAACTTACTTATGTTTCCGCGTAGGACCACGACACAGTATCAACAACAACGTTCGACATAAAATATTGCGTGAATCGTCATCCTCATTTGTATGATTCTCCATGCGATGGCTTAACGTCACAGTATACTGCCTATACCAGATAAGGTATAATACAATGAATATATTAAGTTCGTTGCTCTATACTGAATTTCACATCTATAGATATCGTCAATTTCCTTTCCTAATACAAATTTCTTCATGCATGGCTTAATGGCGTTAATGCCATTGGGCACCTCTTTTGGATCTCCGTTTCTCTCTGGTTCCCGCAGTCTAACTCTTAGTTACTGTAACGCCATATGCCATTCAGCTAACTTGAATTGCATCTATTCCCTAGTCTTGTTATTCGACCGTCCGAGCTAGCCACGACTGGTTGCATACAGTGTCCAAAACCACTTTGCCACTGGTGCCTTGTCGTCTCTATCTCGCAAATTGTTACCGGTTGGTAAATACTTTATCCGTTGCTATGTACGCATCCGGGTACATACAGACAACCTTGGGGGTTGTTGGTCCTGTACCCTAGTAATTCCATATTTTATCAGTCCTGAATTCCAGAGTCAATGAGATTCCATAACTGATGTGCGTCTGGTAAACCTGAACTTAATCTTACTGTTTATTGCAATCAACTGACAATGGAAAAGATATAAAACCTAACGAAAAGTATATCATCTAGCTTCACAATAAAACAAACACAAAGAAACACGCTACGCTATGGAGCCTTCTTCAGCAAACACCATGATTAACAATACTGCATAAATACACAATATCACTTATCTTCGTATCTTATGACAGCTAGGTCGATGTCAAGCCAATCGTCTGGCGAGGCACGTGGGGTCAGGAAAATAAATATCCCAGGATGTGCCAGGGGCCGTCACTCGAGGATAATATAAAATGTTTCAGACAGTTTAGCCCCCTAGGATTTAAATGAAGCTGTGTTGGCAGTTTAGTCCACTCGGGGCCAGAGTTCCCAAATAGTAAATAAAGCGATTTTCAAAAGACTTGAGAACTCTGTCGCTGGAGTGGCTAGATTTTTTGGTTGTCATCTCCATGTCGTGGACACTTTGGTGGTCCTGGGAATTGAAATGCAGTGGTACTGGTCTCAGAGTGCCATTCTGCACGTCCAAAAGATGTTGTCTTAACCTGTCACTTACTATCAAGTTTATGTAAACCATTTCGCCGAAGAAGAATTCTTATGATGGGAATTCCCAGGGAACCCCAAAAATTGTCTTAGGTGACGTAATATGGTCCGAAGGCCAGGAAAACAAGAGTGCAATATAGAGAATTCACAGGGAACCCCAGAGAGTTTCCCAATTGAGGGGACACGGTCAGAAGACCAGGAAACGATAGACACGTGGGGAAAAGCGTGTCCAGAATATCTTGTGTACTGTGAACAGGTGTACGGAAAAAGCGTTAGATTCGAACTAATCTTTTGAACGCAAAGAGGGTGCAGAGTCAATTGTGTTTTGACCGTGTGAGAGGTAGGCTGTTTTATGGTGCGACTGAGGTGAACGTCATTGTAAACTGAAGGAGCGTCACTTTGAAAGCTCGAATGTCTGAGAATTGATTCTGAATTACAACGTCTAGTGCCGGAGAACAATTGTGTTGTTGTGATTCAGATGACAATACCTGAGTGAATGGAACGTTCTGACCGGCAAGTTCTTCTTCTTCTTCTTCTTCACTTCCTCTTTTACCTCTGTGGGTGTCGAGGGAGATATACGGTTCTGTTTCTAGCTCTTCTGGCTGCCTCGACCATGGGCACATCGTGCTGTTGTAGAGTTTCTCTGATGTTATCCTTCCATCTTATTCTTGGTCTACCCCGTGCTCTACGACCTTCTTCTCTTTACGTGTATGCTTTGTATGGTATGGTGTCACAAGGCATTCTATCTAAGTGGGCAAACCATTTCACTTGACCGGCAAGTCACTGCACCAATTGTTTAACTGTCATCCTGTCGTGGTAGTCAGTCGTGAACACGTGTCAGCGACTAGGGAGAACGGTGGACACCGACGGCACAACTTAATATGTGCCACAATAAACGATATTAAAATTATCATTGTGTTTTGAAAGTACTATCATGTGCCCAGA